GTTTAAATGATAGCAGCATCCTATCCAGTGTCCTAAGCACCCTGCATTTGCACAGTCCTTTTCACTTCATGCATGCGGGTACTCTGAGATACATTCAAGGTTGACAAAAGCTCTTAATTTGCCCGTCTAGGTTGTCCCAGAGCAGGATTTTGGCTTTCCTGCATTCAGTGAGCTTTGACAGATCTGATGCCTCCAACTAGGCACCTTTGGTGTCTGCAAAGCCAAATCAAGCAGCTTCACGGAGTAGCACCCCTCTCTGTGCATGTGTATATGTTTACACACCCATGTGTGGTTCCCCCCTAGCCCTTCTATCCCTCCTCTTTTTCCATTTGGTTCTGCTTTGTATTTTATTTGCAGTGTGTTGCCCTGTTGTAAGTATTGCTCATGCATATTGAGTTAAGATTCCCCAAGGAGTCTGCCTGACATTGAAAAATTAAAATGAACTTTTTTGGTTTTGCACTCTCAAAGCCCTTTATTATAAGCTAGGGTTTTTGCTCCGGGGTAGTAGGATGTTGGAAAGAGCTGAAATATGGCACTGCTGAGAATTAATTTGTATAAAAACTGCACTTAGTATCCAACTGTGTGCTGATACCCTGCCCTCAAAGGCAAGTCTGGTTGCAGTTTAGGTCACAAGTGAAATGAGCATGTTGAATCTCATTCTAACATGTCACTGTCTTACAGACTTTCTTCTTTGCCTAAATGCTCTTCTTCAGGAGCCTTATGAAATACTTCTTGTTGAGAACTGGGCAGAATATGTGTAGAAACAGCAGCTCCCTCCCTTCCTCTCCTCCAGAAAATAAGGGAGTTGTCTTGTAAATGCCAAATCAGTTTATTTCAAAGCATTTCAGTTTGGGGGATGGCAACAAGAGGACTTTGGTGCCACTCATAGTGAGGCAGGTGGTGCCTTGTCCTAAATTTAGAAGTTGGTCTTATTGAACAAGATATGAGGGATTTAAGTCTGTCCTCTCTCTACTTGCTGCAGAGGCCTGAGATACGTTTAGCATATGCCGGGCGTATGCTTTCCTCTTCTTTAAGAGTCTCTACAACACTGACTTTGTTTCCATGCTTTTCTTAAGCATTTCATGCACTAAACTGAAGAATAACTCCATTTGATTTTGGTTGCAGGGTGATCTTAATTACACAAAGTATCAGCTTCAGTGTTGAATTCCTCTGCAAGCCCAAAGGATGCTGTAATGTGTTTTGTTTTGTTTTTTTTTTTTTTTTAAAATCCTGTTGGTCTGGAGGGGAGCAGCTGTTGGGGTCTGCTGAATTTTAAAAAATGAACTAATGAAGCCTCATCAGGTGAGGAATGTGCTCTGTGTAACCAAAGGATTTGGCTTCTGTGACCTCTGACCCTCTCCTACTGTTTGAAAAACTTGCTTTTGCTCCTTGGTTATCATTACGCTTTGCCCAGAGCAGAGTACATCTTGTTTTCACTGCAGAGCACCCAGTGCCATGGTGCGCTTAACAGCAGGCAAGTGATGAAAACTGCAGCAGGCAGTTTGTCTGCTTCCCTATGTCGAGCTCTATGCGCTCAGAACTGTGTCCTAATTCTGGCTGACCACACGGTGCGGGTTTGCTGCTCTTACCCACCTCCCCACATGTTCCTGACCCTTATAAAATATCTCGATAGCTTTGTGGCACAAAAATCCAAAGGGCGTTTGTTAATATAAGGCTGTAAAACACATGCAGGGCCCATCCCATTCTGCCTCTTACTGTTTTCCCTGTTCGTTTAGTGGGCACCCACATGGTGTTAGGGAGGTGGGGATGTGCACTGATTTTTGCAATGGAGTCCCACACCAGATGCTTAGTCTTAGGGAGGATGAAGTTGTGACCCCTCATGGGGAAACATTCAGCTAACCATATCATGTAGAGGGGTAATATCAGTATACTACATGATAACTGCTTGTTTCCTTTATATATTGAACATGAACATGCATATGCCAGGGAATACTGCTTCCTCCAAGAGCTAGATGAGCCCATGCTCTCAGACAGACTTGTGGCAACTGTTTTGCTGCTGCTGTGAACATGAAAATATCACCCGGTTTTCTTCGGGCCAGATAAGAGCAGCTCTTGGGCTGAAAAAAGAGTCTGAAATGTTGCCTCAGTTGTCCTGCTACGTGCCATAAAGTCACTTCAACATAGCTGAAGCAAACTTTGTTCTAGATTTCGTTTCAGAAGAAGAGTCATAAACTACTCAGGTTACTTACAGTAAAAGTAACTTTTCCTGGTGCAAATTTTGGTCTCCTCTTGTCACATGCAATCACTTCTAGAGCAGCAGGCGCTTGATGTCCCTTTATCTGCTCCTGACCCATCCAGCTGGAGCAGGGCTGCGTGGAGCACTCCCAAGTGACATGTTTCACACCGGGCAGGGCATTAAATAGGACTCTCGCATTTGCTAGATGCAAGTGGACCGTATGCGGAGCTGGGGTTTGGGTTTTTTCTGTCTCTTTGTGCAGCTGCTGGTAAAATGTGTTTCCCAAGGCCCATCTGCAGGGCTATTTGTTTTCCCTCCTCTAAACCTTTTAATTGTAGAGCAAGATGGAGAACAATGGGGAGCAACGGTCTGAAACTGAGCAAAGCGGGGAAAAATCTAGGCTAGACGTCAGTAGCAGTTTCATAACGGATGAAAATGAGCAGGGGAGCGTTTGCCCTGGGAAAAGGCTGAATCCTTTTCATCAAATTCAAATGAGGCAAGACAGAGGATTCTATTAAAATTAAAAATAAATAAATAAATAAAAATTTGCTGGCAGGACTCGAGCCAGAGGATCTCCCACAATCTATCCTGCATGTTAACTCCACAGATTGAAGACTTGATTATAGGCTATTTCCTGTTGGAGAGGCATCGATGTGTGAGTGAGGATCTTCCTCACTCACATTTACAAGGTCAAATGAAAGGATATTGATTTATTAGAGCTTTACAAACTACCTAACCTTTGGGGAGGATGTTTAGAAGCAGCAGATAGCTGGGAAGTGTTTGGTGTGAGCATTTAAGCTGAGCCTTAGTTGATATTTGCAGTGTGCAAAACAAAAGCTTTACCAAAGCTGGCCTGAGGGGCTAGCTATAGCCAGAGACCTGCACCTGGTCATGTTACAGTACAAAAATTTGTACAGTGCCACTGTTAAGCAATTAAGCCCCCATAGCCTATTTAAGGCTTGTAATTATGAAGCAACAGGAAAAGCATGTTGGGTATGGCAGTAGCCGTGCTCTTCTCTGACACTTCAATTCAGACTTGGGTATTTTAAGTTCTTGGCCAGGCCCTCAGCTGCTCCAAAGCAGCAGGACTATGATAGCCATTCTGCCTTCCTGTGGTAGCCAAGCTTCGCCTGACCTTGGGGAAGGTGCTTTTGCCTATACCTGGTAGACTTCTAATATTTCCTCAACCTCAGCACCCTATTTTCTTTTCCTGGTCTAACTAAGTGACTGAACAAAACAGGAATTGCCCTTGGGTAACCACCAGTAAGCAGAGTGCTCCTTCGTTGACATAGCTTGAGGATTTATAAATGCTATGCAAAGGCCATCTCCTCTGAGGAGCCTGGCTTCCTTAGAAGCCCATCCCAAGAACCCTCATCCAAGGCTGAGCTGTCACTAGATCCGTTTGGGAGTCTTGCCTGCTCTTCCTGTGAAACAGCACCACTGTACCTCTTTGCTTCAGCTCTGAGGAGTACCCTCTGCCGCAAGTGTCTCCGGAGAAGTGTCTCTATGAATTGTCCACTTCGGCATTTTACTATCCTCGTCACCCCAGGGGTAATAAATATTAATAATAATGAATAAAAGCAGATGCTATAGATTGAAGATTACTTCACGTATTAAAACCTGTGTACTGCCATTGGATAAATGGGTCATAAATAATCTGTGTATGGTTTAGTTTCTTCCTGAACATCTCTCTAGTGTTTTACCCTCCCTCCTCCATTGCAAGAAACTGGAGTGTTTGGGCACTGCAGGAAAGGAAAACAGCCTTCTGCAGATGCAGGTGTGGGCTGGAAAGCAACTTGTTTAGCTCTGAAAAAGAAATCCAGGAGGAAGAAGTTGGACCCTTCCTTACTCTGGTGCCCGTGCTTTGGTCTCTTCTTTTCAGGGAGCTAGGGCAGTTTCAAGTGAGTGTCCAGGGTTCAGCCTGGCTCCTTTTGCCTCATTCCTTTCCCTTTCTGGGAACTGCTGGTGCTTTGCAGCTTGAATGCATGATAGACAGTGGTTTTAAAAGCAATATTCTCCTCCTTTAAAAATTAGTTTCCTAGTTCAGTGCTGTCTTGGTCAAGAATTTATACAGAACTGAGAAGTGAACAGACATTTTCTTGAGTGAATCATCATTTGTGGAACAAGAAAGAAGGCTGAGTGACCTTTATCTTGATGAGACTCTCATTAAGTATCTACACTAGTGCTAGCTCCAGGATGACTGTACTGAGTTGTATAAAAACTGTGGTGAGTCAACACTATGCAATACCATCCTGGTATAGACACTCAAGCATTGATGCAACTGAGCTTCAGACTAGTCTGTGTTTCACTGAGGCCACCTTGCTGAGGGACAGGGGCTACCAGCATGGTTACAATACTTTAGAGTCTGAACTAGTTGTACTTTGAACCAGACTGAGCGTATCTAAAGAATGCAGCTGGTGTAGAGGGGCAGAAAACTCTGGTCAGAGTGAAATAGGCTTCACTGCTTGAAGTAATGACTTTATTTTATCCAGTCAGTTTCCTACTCCTAGCTTACTTTCACCTGAGTTTGTTAAACAGTGTTACCGTTACATCTACTGAAGCATAAATTCTTGTTTCAAATTCGGTGAATATCTTGCATAGAATTGTCTTCATAGAGTGAAGATGATTTGGCTTGAACTAGTGAACCTATTTTCAAGAGGAATCTTCAATTTTATCAAATGTCCGTTTTGAACATTCAGTGCTCACAGGAAAACTTAAGCTTTTTAAGCCAAAAACCTAGACTCAATAGCTTAAACAGAGCTACTCTTCAGTAGTAATAACAGACTGACAAGACAGCAGGAGGTAAATTTCATGTTTTTAATGCTGATTTGTACCGTCTCCATAAAGTTGAAGCACCAAACATTGGGTATGTTTCAACGAAGCCTAGTGACACCGAGTTAGGAACCTGCCTGGATGCGCTTTGTTTTCAGTATTCTTCACTGAAGGGATACTCTGGATGGTCACGCCACCTGTGGAGAGGTCAGATTGAGCAAATGAGCTTCTTGGGTGAAGCAAGATGTCACATCACTGATGCAATTGTCCTCTGCCTAGCAGACCTCTTCTCTTCTCTGCAATGCATAGGCAGTGTTCCTGGAAGGCTTTAAGGAGAGGACAGTGAAGGACACCTTCCCCCACCAAGGCCTATGGATGTCATTCCTTAAAGGCAAATATGGGGGGGGGGGGAAAGGAGGGAAGGAGTTCAGAGGTCAGTTGTTCTCACTATATTTGTGGATTTAACCTGTGTTAGTGGAAGTTTTGTAGGGAAGCTGAAAGGTTTTGTTATATGTGCATGTGTGATGGAAGAGGAAAGACTTTGTTCAAATATCTAGAAAGCCCTCTCAGCTGAAGTCTAAAAAAGGGTTATATCTGGAGAAGAGGCAGAGATACCAGATTTGACAAGAAATCTTGTACTACTTTGGCTTATGTGCTTAGAACTGGCATGAACAGGTCTCTGTCTGGCATGGCGCTTTCTCCATGTGGCTGCTTTATCCAGACTAGACATGGCTGTGCCAGTTAACCGAAGTCCACGAGCTCACCTAGGTGTGAATGCTCTACCTGGTTAATAGCGCTGGTGACAGTGCTTACAAGGAAGTTCTGAGGTGACCCAGTTTGGGGAAGAGATAGAAATTTGTGGTTACATACTACCAAAGGCAGGGACACTTTGGGCTCCATAGAAAATGCTTGCTCAGGAAAGATACATGATGCAGGAACGCTGTAAAAGGCAACAGCCAAATTCCCAGGGCCGAGTGCAGGTGAAAATGAGACTGACTTTGCCCATGACTTGACAGACTGGGAAGAGAGGTAGTTGTTTTTTGAGAAGATGATGCTAAACCACAAGCACCGGCTTGACAAACATTTTCCATTAGCAAAAATGAGAGTTTCTGATGAACCTTCTCAGGTGCACTGTGGCAGCTGGCTGCCTTGCCTTACAGCAAAGCACAACAAATACTGGCATTTGTTCCAGTTGTGACTTGTTCCAATTTGGAAAGGATACATTTCACAATATTGAAGTTAGCTGACTGGAAGGCATCAAACATTTTAAATTGGTTTTGTCAAAACATTTCATTCCAATATTCAGCCAAGCTGCACTGTTTACACATTAACAGATTGACTTGCTTCAAAAAAAACAAGCCACAGTTCTTTGGCATTCTTTTTTTTTTTCCTCCCAGTATGATTTGACAATATCTGAGTTGCCAATGTCCTAATCTTTTTTTCCATCTATAGAGCAAGCTTTCTAATCAGATCTCTCTTAAATGTTCTCAGGTCTTGGATCCTCTTACATAACAGAATGACTCACTCAAAGGAGACAATGTGGCTTCAACTAACTGGTCCAAGTAAGGAAGAACATCCATAGTGGAGATGGAGGGTACAAGATAAACCAAGCAGACGGATTAATGCAAAACTCACCCAGCACGATACTCTTTCCAGTTCTCCCGAGGGGAGAAGAAACCGTTTCGGACTGAGATTTATGGAGTATTCATATCTCTGCAAAAACTCCATCTTCTGCTCAGGTGTTTAACTTTCTAACCCATTTCAGTTAATGCAGTGTCTTATTCCTGTGGGCTTACTCACACTATTGGAACAAGAGATTTCCACACAGTACCCATGGTAGCTGATAGCTGGAAGAGCCACAGAAAAGCTGGATTTTCCATTCCTACCTGCATTGCATCACGGCAATGGAAGGTTTTCAACAAAGTTGACTAGTCAGAAGTTTTTCTGTACGATGGTTTGACGTTTTCAGATAACTATTGCTGGATGAAATAAGGAATCTCTCCAGGCTGGCAAGTCATCTGTTGCAGTGTCCATTCCAGACACTTAAGTGTAAGAACACACTGGCTGGCAGATACAGATTTAGCTACTCCTTACATGGCAGCTTCACTTTTCCAAGAAGTTATTATTCATGGTTGAAGCCAGACTATAGTTAACTATTTTCCCCAAATCTAGTACTTCTGTGAAAAATATAGCTGTTAATGTCCATTCTATATTTCCTGCTTTTCTTGTTCTCAGTGGGTTTCTGTCATGAGGTTTGGTCTAATAAAGCAAAGCATTTGCTTTTATTAGTTTTGGATGAGTGGCCTAGGAAGTTCCCCCCCCCTCCCCGTGGGTATTTACATCTTTTAAGTTTCCTTCTGGAAAGGGTTCTGGCATTTGTACCAAGGTTACTTTTCATGTGTATATCCTCACTAACAAAGTTTAAATGATGTTATGGCTCAAAACTTAGCAATGAAAAACCAAACAATTTGCAATATCAAAATACACATAAGAATCTGCTAGGCAATTTGTGAGAAGCTTTCTGGAAATAAGCGTTGCTAATTGATGGAAGACTATTTTAAGTTTTAAGAAACAAAAGCTTCAGAGCACCTGGCTGAGCTTAAATGTGAAAGATGAACTGCATTATGATGCTCTTAACCTAGTTCATATTTTCTGTCATATTTATGCCGTACACCAAGAGGTTTGTTTGTTTCTTTGCAACGTTACCCCCGCCCCCATCCTTTGAGCAATAGTCAATGTTTTAGGCAGCAGCATCAATAGCACTTTTACTTTTTATTATTATTAGTGCTTGAGTACACTGGAGTTTGGCAAGACACAGATAATCCAAGGTTACAAGAGAAATGCGTGGAAACAAATCCCCTTAGCATTTGGCTACACGTTGAGTGCCCTGAAGAAGGGAAAGCATAGAGTTTGGCCATAAACTGTAGATGCTCTTGAGCGGAAGGAAAAACAAATGGCCTCGTTCTCCAGAATAAGAGACCTTGAGTCAATCGAAGCTTCCTGGGGGAGTGCAGCTTACAAGTGAAGCAGAACTACTTTGGGTAGTAAGGTTTAGATCACAAGCAGCAAGAGATCAAGCCGTGTTAGTTCTCAGAGATAATTAGGAATGGATGCAGCTTGTTTAAATACTAAATATTTTTCTGCTTTCCATGTAGGAAGGTACAACTCCACATGACAGCAGGAGGGGCAGATTGCTGAAGAAGTCAACTTCGGATGAAAGGCAGAAACTAAGTTTCTGACCTCTTGTGGTCAGTAAGATGTATTATGTCTTACAAGGAAGTAGGCAAATTTTGTTGTCCTGACCTTTCCCTAGCAAGTGAGAAGGATTAGAGCTCTTCCAGAGCCATCCCTGTGGTTTAAGATAGCGTTGTGGATTCAGACAGTGTTATTTAGTTCCTAGCTTTCCACTCAGCGATTTAGGACAAACTGGCTTGGAAAACTAGGGTTACACTCCATAAGCAATAGCACTTGTGCAGCAACATGGCTTGCTGAGCAGTGGGTGAGAAGGAGGGGAAAGACAAGTAAGTAGGCCTATTTGAAGTTCAGCTCTGATGGCTACACTAATGGCTAGGTAGGGCCACCTAGATAGATGTTCATTACAACATACAATGGAAAGTGCTTAAGGAGATGGAGCAGAGATGAGACACCCAGATACCATTATCTTCTACTAGAGGGGCTTTTGAAATCACATTTGTTTTTGCAAGTGGTCCATGTACGTACTGAAGGCTGTGTTAAAGAGCTCTCACATTTTCTTCAGCGTTCAAGTCAGATCTTAAAATGAGGTTCTTAATGCAAAAAAATTATGTTAAAAGCAAATTTTTTTTTTGACAGCCTCTGAGAAAACAGGAGTGTTCAGTGAGTATATAGGACTCCTCCTGGACTTACATCAACAGTTCCACATAACGGACATTTTTGTTCAGGGCTTCAATTTCTTTCATCTCTTTTTCAGTGAGGGAGAAGTCAAAGATCTAATGGAAGGAGATGTTAGGAATAAATTAGAATTTCTTGTCACAATAAACATCAATATTAATATGTTCCAGACTATAGAAGTCCAGAAAAAATGCAAAAAAACAAAAAAACATTTTTTTCCTTTGCATTAAGTCCAGCCACATTGGCTATGTTCCCTTCCAAGAAGAGAATGGCAGTCTGGTAACTACTGGGTTGCTGGCTTCAAAAGCAATGCACTGGTAGAGGAAGTGGGGAGCAATATGGTACAAAGTGCTGCAAGGGACACAGCAGCACTTGTATTGGTGGAGGTGGGGGGTGTCAAGCTAAATGTTTTCTGGTCGTGGCACACCAATGTGCACTATCTTCCCTTCAGCAACAAAGCTGAACCATGCCTAAAGACGGAGCAGAAAAAGCCTGCCATTCCTGAACTCTTACAGCCAGCAATCTTGAACTGTGGACCCACTGAAATACTCCATCTGGTTTATGTTGCTCGGCGGAGCAACTGGTGCTCCAGTATACACTACCAGCTGGAATTTTAGCCACTTGCAGGGTTTAGGAGACATCAGAATGTCCTCTCTACTTTGCACTATGTTACACCATAGTAATGGGGACAAAAAGGATTTGACAAAGCTTGACAGTAATAAAGTCTTCTGTCTACAGAAAAAAAATTGGGAAGTGACTTTCCACAGAGACCAAGCCAATGTAAGCATCCATGCACCAGCAGAGTAAGGATTTACCTGGAAATTCTCTCTGATGTGCTGTGGGTTGAAGCTTTTTGGAATGACCACCACCCCTCGCTGGATGTTGAAGCGCAAAGCAACTTGTGCAGCTGTCTTGTTATATTTTTTACCGATAGCATTCAGCACAGGATCCTTCAGTAAAGGAGGGGAGGACACGTTTACCCTGGAATAGAATGAAACAAAGAAATTATCTTGCCATTTTAGTGTCAAAAGCCATAGTCATCTACTATTCACGGGTGCAGTGCTGCACCTTTTTGATAAGTGGTGTCAAGGATGAGGGAGAAGCTTTGTGACATTTAAGAAGTTGACTTTGACAGTCCTCCATTCTATCTGATGTCCTAATGCTGATGTAGAATCCTCATCCAAAACTCGGCATTCTCAGTTACAGCCATGTGCTTTTTAATAGCAGATACCTAAGGAGACCTCCTTACAGACACCTGGCACTTTTTGACAACAGGATGCAGCAGGAGTGTTGCAAGTCTATGTTCCTCAAAATAATGTTGAGACACTGTAAAGAACCAGCAGTGGAGATCTGTTATTCTTCACCTATGTAGCGGCCCTACTACTAGAGAGAAACATGGGAACTTACCATGTTTCATCCCTTGAGGTTCCCAATGGACTGTACCCAACAATAACAATGTCATGTTGTCTGCAAAATTCTAAGAGTTTGGGCTGGGTGAAATAGGGATGGCATTCGACCTACAAGAGAATGCAGAAAGAATAATTAATTGATAGGACTAAGTACAGAAGCAGATGATGTCCCATTGTGAGAGTTATGGACCAGAGATAACTTTTTTGTTGCAGGAAAGGATATTGGTAAGTTCGGGAATAAGTAAACTCACTCTGTGATTACTGTTCTAGTCGTCCACCACTGGTTGATGATGGATTTTTATTATTATTATTTTATTTATTTACTTGGACAGCAGCTCAACACCTATGGTTGTAATTTGGTTGCAGGAAGCCTTTATTGGCCTCCCAGTGGAAAGGTGGCAATAAGTGGGAGGATGGAGGTGAGGGAAGCTGACTAGAGATGTAGGCTGAGAAGCCAACCCATCTCATATGGGTCTTTCTCTGCTTCTTGCATTCAAGATGCCTAATCTAATGTTGTTTTTAGGGGAAGTGCTGGCATGAGCTGACCCAGATTGAAAGTTGAGGGGAAGTATGTGAAACACGAGACATCTCCATAACGGTTTTGACCTAGTTATAAGCCTTACCCTCCCATATTGCAAATACCGTGCATTATTCTGTAAAGGTAGGGATTTTCTGGTCGTGTTCCCTTCTTCAGGGAGAGGGCTATCTACAAGGTGACAGAGCAACCACTGTTTACATACAGTCTGAAGCTACGTGGCACAACATCCTGAGCTGGGCTTAATCTTTTCCCCAGTTTCCCTTGACGCCAGGAAGCTACAGCAGTGCTTGGTACACTCTTACGGGCGGTCCAGAAAGAGCAATTGCATTTTGTACCCACTGAGCACGATAACAGTAGTGAGCAGTGTTGGAATTTCCTCCTCTCTCCGGCTGCCCCTTCTAGGTAGGCAAAAGACAGCAATGAAGTCTCCCTGTGCTGCCTGGTACAGGTCCCAGTCCTTCAGGCCATGTACTATGGGTGGAAAGACTTTCTTTTCCTTAGGTAGTCTTTGGTGTCCCTTCTGCTACTGCTAATGTAGATATTCATTTGTGCCAGAGGAGTCAGAAAAGTTTCCCAGTGATTTATAGGAAATAGTGAGCTACCAAATGCCAGAGTCAAAAGTATCAGGCGTTCAGGTGGGTCACTGCCACTTACCTCTGTCTTTGGGCCCTGCTGTCATAAAACTTGGACATGCCTATCCTCCTCACAGGCTCGTTCAGCTCAAGTCAGTTGCTTAATGTGGTCTCCTCATTAACAGGTTTTTCACCGATTCTCATTGAACTTCTTATGGGAAGGCCACAGGAGAGCAAGCCCAGGAATTTTAGGAGTTACCTCTAATGGCTGTTAAACCCAGAAAACCTAGAGTGACTCAGGTTCCCTGATATTTAGGGTTGTTTTCATTTGGTGTCAGCTGAGGTAGACATGGCTTCACTGATGACCGGTTAGCCCTGAATCGTTTGTCTTGGGAACGTTTTGGACTTGGATAAGGTACATGGCAGAGGTTTAAAATCTGCATTGACTCAGCATCCAAGCTTGCTATGGAGCTTGGCAAGGAGGCACAAGTTTTATAGTCCTGGAGCAGGAACTGAGGAGAGAGATTATTCCAGCACATTCAAATATTATCTTTAGCCTAAACAGGATGAGTAATATTTTCAAGCTAGAAACGGAAGTGTGACAGTATGGAGGGCAGCAGCTGTGGCAAAGCGTATGTCACCCTTCTGCACATGGCAGCTTAGGCCACGTGTTGCCTTTGCATTTTCTACACAGCAGTGGCACTATTGCAGCCACTGGCCTTGGCTTATGGTCATACCTGGTTGCTGACAGGTTTGTGCTTAAGTCCCGGCTTGTTCAGGATCATCTCCAGCTGCCTGCGGTTGAAATTAGATACTCCAATGGACTTTGCCAAGCCTGCGTCTTTACATGCTTCCATAGCCTGCAAAGAAAGCAGAGACTGGAGTCCCAAATACTGGCTTGGTTCTTTGCAGCATATGTTTTAAAGACAGGTGTAGCATAGTCTGTTCTTGAGACTGCAGAAAAACTCTTGCTGTAGCAGAGCTAGCAGCTCTATTACCATGAGGGCTTATGCCATCCTGCTAGTGTAATCTCAGTACAAGGGTATCTACTGACCCACTTTTCCTAATGTTTTATATCTCCCATGAAGGTAGAATTTGTCTGGAAAGCTGTAAGATACAATTGAGATATGGATGCTTAAGTGTCAGATATCTGCTTGGAAGAGTTTTGCTTAGTTTGCACTGCTTTAGCACTACCTCAAAGCTGAAGAAGGGAGAGTGAATAAAACAGATGATTCCTTTCCTGATCACTCAGTTCCTTTTGACTGCATGCTCATTTTCCATATAAAATCTCTATCTAGTGAAATCACCTAAATATCTGGCAGAGTACATCACAAAACCAGCATGGAAAAAATCAGTACAGTACAACGTAGAAGAAAAAGGTGGAAGAGAAGAAATCTAGATATTCTGCATTTCAAGTAAGTCCTAATAGTTAAGACAGCTTTATGCATGCTAGGTGTAAATACGTGCCCCAGCCCTCTTGATAAGCTTCATCTTCTGAAACATTAACACGAGAGATGGTAATTTCCTATAGCCTTCCCCTCTGTGCCCAGAAATTCTGCACACGAATGATTTGGTGGCTGTTTGAGGTGGAGCAGACCCCACCACTGTTGTCCCCTCCATCGGAGCTGAATGCCTCTCCTTCCAGTTTTGTTATTCCTTTCTATCTTGCAAGAACTGAGAGCAGGGAGGTAAGAAGCACCATATATTTGATGACCTCAAGTTGGCCTCATATGCTTTGTATCACTCAGTGACAGGTCAGCAAATACAGTCATCTGGAGTCATTTTTGCTTGCCAACGCTATACTGAAACAGTGAAATTAGCTGGATCAAGTTTAGCCAGTTTCATTTAGACTGAAGCTATTATTTGCAGGCAGTCACCACAAGCTATTTTTGTTCTGGCTTATTAGCTGTAGAGAGAATTGCTACTACAATATATCTTTTACAATAAACACAAGTTTGAAGATAAAAATATAAGACTGTTCAGACAGCTGCTGCTTTTAACATTTGAGCAACTAGCTTGTGAATCAAAGGAATGAACTGCATCAGCCCCAGACAAGGGTAGCATAAATAGCTAACAAGGAAGTCCCTATCTGCCTTGAAATCTTGCCTGGTGGCTCAGCTGCCAGGACAAAGCCAAAGCCCACCCTGGGCTCCATTGCGGTCTGTACTTTTACTCGGAGTTTCCTACCGCATCTCCATTTTTATTCACTGCATCTCAAGTAGAGCTAAATCAGGGCATGACTATCCAACTTTGGGCAGTGCAAGCTGAAGCAGAGCATATGGTAGCCCTTGAGGTAACTCTTTTCAGGTGAACCATGCTAAATTAGTGATGCTTTTGCAGCATACCTGGTGCAGAAGGAGAAATGACCAGCTTTGGTCATGAATTAAAGAGTGTCCAGGGCTTCAGAAGGAGTCTATGTGAGGACATTGCTACTCCCACTTTCTGCTTCCCCTGAGATCCTGAGGCCAATTGGCAGGAGGCTTAATGAAACATCTGTCAATAGTACTTGAGCACACCACAAATTAGGATGCAATCCTTCACAGAAATGTTACTTCCCTCCAAGTTTTGTAAGCAGAAAAGCTTTGCATCCTCATTTGGTAACTAAATTCAGAAGTGAGTGAACTTGTTTTGATGTCTCTCTCTCTCTCTCTCTCTCTCTCTGTCTTTAAATCTTTTAATTTTTTTTTAATGGTGAGCTTTAGGGCAAATTCTGTTTTCTCTTGAAGGTGAGGAACTTTTATTTCTGAGAAGAATCCAATCACTTCTTTCTTCAGGGCTCCAACTTTCTCCTGCTGCAAAGATGTGATAAAAACAGGAGAGCCTGGAATAAAGCTACAGATATCTGAACTAGTAAATGCACTCTCTGAAAAAAGGAACGTGGATGTCAGATGTCTCAAATATTTTATTTTGTTTTTAAGATTTATTAATTAAGTGATGGCAAGAAGCAGCATCCCTGTAGGCAGTAGTCAACTTTATCCATAGAGCTAGTAGAATTTAATCCATTTGCCTGTCAGTATGCCTCTGCTCTGTTTGTGCAGGCCTCAAGTAAAGCTGAGAAAGAGGATCTGTTTTTTTAAAGCATACATAAATGTTGGGATTGCTTACCTCCCAAGTGGCACATAGGTCTGTCTCATGGTAGATAATTTTTCCATTTTCATCTTTTGGGTAGATTGCATCACCAGGCTGAAAAGCAAAACCACATACACACTTCACTCCTCAGAACAAAGATTTTCCACAATCTCTGCTTCTACTAGCAAATAAAATTTCAAAGGCTTTCTAAAAACACCCTAAGTTCAATAAGTCACTCATGCAGGTCTTACCACATCCTCCAGCAACCTTCCACTGCTGGATAGTCCTTGGATGCAGTTCTGAACTATCATATGAGTGCATACTCAGGAGTTCCAGGATGGCCTTATTTTTCAATAAGCTTCTGACCTTTAGGGCAAGGCATCCAAAGGACTAGTTTTCTTCCAAAGGGCTGGGTTAGAGTACTGATGCATATATATATATTTTTATATATACGTGTGTATATCTGTATATATATTTTTTCCTCTTCTTTCCTTCGCTCCTTCCTTCTCCCCTGCCCTCTACCCCATCCTGCTTGCATCCTAGGCACTTGGGAAGAATACCAGTTCTGCTTCCAGTTCCAGCTGGAGGGACCATTTCCAAGAGCTGCTACTAGTAAAGGGCTGAATGCACAGGTATAGAATGTGCCATGAACCTTTCTTTTAAAGTGCATTATCCATCTTTCTTTGGGCACTAACAGCTCTTTCTTCCTATCCCTGTCCTGCATAAACAGGACTTCAGGGATGATTTATGAGCTGATACCTGGTGCTTAAGAGCTCTGCTTTCTCTTAGTTGCTATTGCAGGCAATGCTTTAGTGCCCCCCTCTCTTGTCTATCTGATCTTAATTTCACTTTTTTCAAAGAAAACCCTTTTGTGATGGTTGATACTTGATCTGACTTCAGACAGCTACATTTCAAAGGACTGTGTATAAGATGTTGACATGGCAATTCCTTGGGAACACGAATCTGTGACTAATATGATCAGCAACTGGCGCCACCCAATTCAGTCAAGAAGTTCAAGTTCAAGACATTCCATGGGAAAAGTGAGCCTACGGAAAACACAGCTTCAGATTCTAGAGACCAAGGTCTAAGTTACAACCGTAAGGCTGTCTCCTCCAAATGTTCTGGCTTTCCGCAATGAATTCCACAAAGACCTGCTGCCTTTTTTGCTATGTCTGATTGGAAAAAACTTCACTAGAAGGAGGTAGGTGATTGTTGGATACATTTTTACTATTAGAAGGCAGACTATTTGCCCTCATAACTTAGGTGGGGAAGCCTTACTTACAAAACCACCCCTCGGATTTTGGAAAACCCCATTCTACCCCATGGTACCCCACCAGACTGTCCATGGACTACAGGCTTGTTCCACACAGGCACAGCAGATGGATATCCCTGAGTTCATGGGATGGTTCTGAATTCAAAACTGTTCCATCTGAATTCAAACTCTGTTCCATTTCTAATTCATTAACTTTGGTTCAACATTACTTTTTTTTAATGTCAGTCAATATTCAGCGACTACATTAGCTATTTCGTCAACCTCTCTGTTTTCCTCTGTTTCTACCACTTATGTTCTGAAAAGCCAACAAAGTTAGGATGAAGGGTGGCTTGAATGTGAACTTGTCTTGACTGAGTCTAGAGGTACCGGCTGTTGTCTATTTCCACAAGGATTTAGTCCTTCCTGCTACCTACAGGAAGCTGCATAGGGTGTTGAAATAAGGTTGTCTTTGTCTCAGTAGTCTCGAGGGAGTACCTATGTCTGCCAAGCTATTATTTTTTATGCAAGGAATTTCCTGAATGAATGACCCAGCTACAGATGGAGAAAGATGGAGAAAGCACTGACAAAGTCAGTGTTTTGATGGTGACAGTATCTTGTTTACTAGGTCTTTGAAAAAGTCTTTTAGAAGTTTCTCACACTTAGCTTGGGATTGTATGGACTACAAAATACCAGTCATTCCCACAAATGCACTCTTCGCCTCTTGCTGTCGCCCTGTAGACAGCCACAGATCTTAGAATGGACATAAGGTAGCTTCCTGCGGTGCCACTGTGCGAGCACTATGACTGTCACTGCCAGTGCACAGGGTTCTGATAGTATCAGGTCATGGTCAAAGTCTACGGGCACCCCAAAAGCTACGAGAGCTGGTAACTAGTGAGAGGAAAAGTTCTGCTCCCATGATAACAATTTCATCAGCAACACAAATGCAAGAAGACAGGCCTGCACATCCCATTGCTTTCACAAGGTGTTCTTTGATAAGTGGGCTTTTCACACGAGAGCTATTTAAGAATTTGTGAATGCCTATAGCATAAACAGAAGGCAATAGGAAGTCAAATAGACCATTGATCTGTTTTGATTTATTCTCTAAAGCTGACAAGAAGATACTGGGAACAGGCTTGTTCAATATAAAGCTGAGATAACCTGCTTTCCTGCTAGATCATAGAATAATTTAGTTTGGAAGGGTCATTTAGTGCACAGGCACCTGCTTATTGATTAATCTGACCAGGAAGCCACTAGAAAACCTGCTAGCAGGTAGGAGCTCCCTGGGCAGAGGCAAGAAGTGGCCAGGAGAAGGCATGTTCCAGCTGGTCTCGTGCTTCATCAGGGCAGACAGGCTGTGTGCCACCTCTTGGTAAAGTGAGGAAGGGGAGCTGGGGCAGGAGCAGGAAAAGTGGGAAGGATGGTAGTCTTGAATGGAGATTTTGCAGAAGAGAGAACAGGGAGGTGCTGGTCACTGCTAGTAAGTCAATGTTTAAAATCACCCCAGATATCAGCCATTCCTGATCCATGCAGAAGTGCTGGGGTGGTGGCTTTTTTCTCCTCTGAGCGGTGCTCTCGGGAAAACTGATTCCTCCTATTCCACCTGAAAGCCCCTGTGAGAGCTTGCATCGCTGGGACCTGCAGAGACAAGTTTCTTACCAGTTTACTGGAGTGGGACTGTAACCTTTGTCTCATGTTCTTCACTGATTTCATGCAGAGGCCAGTTTTTTTAGGTTTTTGGGGAGACGGGAAAGCTCTTTCAAGTAGTCAGCTTTTACAGAGCAGGGCAAAGTAGGAATATGTTAGTGTTACAGCTGCACACTCCTCACCAAGGACAAGCATCACATATGAGAAGGGTGTGTGTGCGAGAGGGAGCAAAACCAGGAAACCTGCTGCCATTGCGTAAATGTTTTTTTTTTTTTAATTTGGCACCCCAAAATGTATATTTTTTTCAGGCAGAAAGTGACTTTGCTTTCTCTTCTCTCAAGAGGGACATGAATGAAGTTCCAGAACTGCTACTCTTAATATCTCAGCTTGTTGATACAGGCCTCAGGGAGTCTGATGTACATTATTTTAAAGCCAGCTGTCTACATCTTTATATTCTGAGACAGTGACCTTCAGTATGTGGGAAAACGAACTATTAGAGAATACAAACAGAAGTAAGGGGAAACAGGAAATTGCAAGTGGTGGGAATTTTTAAAAAATATCCTTAAAAAAGGATTCCATACATGGGACCATATAAATGAAATTTTACTGTGAGTCCAATTACTCTTACATGTGCCTTAAAGCTTCCTTAGGAAAGAAGAAACTGCAGGTCTAAGGTGATTGCTACATTGGTAAATCCTTCCTTATCTAGTGTTTCTGGCAATTTAGAATCCATGATAGAGTATAATTTTAGTAACTGGAGAACTGTCTTCCTTGCAAAAAGAGATACACCCAGCTTAGAGCTTAAACCACCCCCCCCCCAAAAAAAAAAAAAAAAAAATTAGCCAGCTAGCTTCCTGGTCCTATTCTCTCCAAGAAAAAAGATTTAAAGTGGTTTTGAACCAATAAATGTGTGTTGAAGCTCTGTCTTCAAATTTTAGTGCTATTATATTATGTACTTGCAGAGGGAAAACTCTAAATCAAGCTCCAGCTAGGCAGCAGAACTGGAAAGTTCAGGGATTCGCAAAAGCTGGTTGCAAGGGAGGCATATGAGACCCTTGCGTTCGGAAGGGTTTTCAAGCACAGAGACAAGTAACCCAGGGCCAGCAGAATGAAGGACTAGGAGGCTTTAGCTTTTCAGAAGTGTGAGAGCAAGAGAGGTACACCTCGTGTTTGGGGCCCAACTGTGATCAACTAAAGCTGTCTGAGAGAAGCACTGTAGAATTAAGGATATTAAGATCGCAACCATGATTTGCCCAATACTTCTAATACTATTGAGGCTGTTTGGTTTCTGGGACAGAGCAAGGAAGTCAGTTTGGTGGTTTTTCCCTTCTGCTACCCATGCTACAAACTTTGCTGCTAGCCCCTTTTTTTCTGTGGTAACTCTCTCCTCATAGCTCAGAGAGGATTTAGACACATGCACTGCTTCAGCTACACTAAGTCTTCAGTGTAGAAAGTGTGTTTTCAATCCCAGTTAAGAGTCCTGTCCTTCCAGTGGAGAGATCCTATCCTACAGCTGTCAGTAACTACTCTCACATGGGCTATAAGCCCCTCCACACAGAAATGTAGATTACGATTTGGCCAAAGTGCTATTTTCAGCGTGGATTTGAACCTGGAAGGAGGATGCCAGATAAAGTCTCTGGTTCAAGCAAACCGTGCAATTTTTAGGGTAATTTTTCTTTTCACCTTGAAAGCCATGGGCAGCTCAATAATGTAGAGATCAACATAGTCCAGCTGAAGGATTTTCAGGGTCTTCTCCAGCGTTGGGCGCACCAGCTCTGGGGGGTGGCAGGTATTCCACAGCTGGGGAAGCAAGCACAGAGTCATTTTTTTGGTTGCCAGGAGGTATAGCGAGGATCCTCCCACTGTTTCTCCCACCATGCTCTTGTCCTTCTGACAGAGTACTTTGTTTGCAGTGCGAAGCCATTGTGGTCTACATCAGTGCAAAGGTGAGGGGGTCTTTTCCTCTCTTCTTCCAGAGGAAGATACAGAGGTAAGAAGTGAACTCTTGCCCAGGATTATCCCTCTGCCGACCAAGTAAAGCCACTACATACTTCTTTAGGACAGGTTCTTTTAAGCTGGGCAAATTGCAAACTCTTGCTCAATGAAACTGGGCAGATTCATTTTGTTTTCTGAGCTTTCCAAGCACATGCTTTCACTGGAAAACTTTGACTGTTCCCACAAGAAATCTGTGGTCAATTTTATGTTTTAATGCAGAGGCTAAGATCATGTGAGCTAGCTGTTGAATAGCCAAACACTCAGCAAACAAAGAGAATCTTTTGGTTTTCTCATGTGGTCATGGACCCTGAATCATTGCCTGACCTAGAGGAGTTTTAATTCCCCCGCCCCCAGTCCTCATTGAAAGATGTGTTCTGGTTTAGTTACTGTGAAGTAGGTGTGATTTAGTCAAAGCACAGCCTTTTCATCCTTTTTAATCACAACTATTTCCTTTATGGGTTATGCCCTGAGGTTGCTATGGGTGCTCAGTTGATTAACTTTCAATGTTATCTCTAACTGAACTCTGCTAATGCAGATCTCTTGCAAGAATAAAACGATAGCATAGTAACTAGTAACCAAGAGCTCTTTGTAACCGATTACTGCAGTTAAGATCCAAAAAAACCTGTATTAACACACAATCGAAGGTTAAAAGTGCCATTTTCTTGCACGCAATAACCTGGCAAATCTTATTTTTCTTTCAGTGTGCAAACGTAACATTTGGAATGATGTTGAAATCTTTGGCACCTTTTTTTGGTTGGAAAATCCAGATATTTGTTGGTACAGTTGTTGCCTAGCCAGTTCTGCCACCAATACAGACGGTCAGAGCGTGCCAAGGTGTAGATTGAGTCCACCTTTGAGGCATGGAACATCTGAATTCAGATTTTTTTCAGGAGAAGATAGTGATTAAAGGTGTTAAAGGACATAGACTGGCTGAGTTCTAAAGTATTTTAGAACTTTTAAAAACCAGATTATTTTCAAAGGCCCAGGACAGGGAGTAGGTATCTGCTCTATTGTGCCAGCAGAGGCAAGGATATGTCAACTTGAAGCTCAGCTGTAGTCAGAGCAGCACATCTGACGCTGCCATAAGGTGATATAGCAAAGCAGGGATCAGTATACAGAAATTCTTACTAGGTCTTACCCCAGCTGTATGTTGCAAGGCATGAAGGACTGATGATCTGTTAAGCACTGGTTACATTGGTTGAAATCTAATACAGTAAAGGGACCAAGATCTTGCTCTGAGACTTTTAAGGTGTTCTTGAAAGTCTTTGGTCTGGATTTTTTTAAAGTATTTGCCAATTGTAGATTTTTCATTTCACATGTAAAATGAAATGTTCTTTTGAGCTTAAATATAGCTAAGGAATTGACTCTGTATACCCTTCATATCAAGTTTGTTTTGTCAATGTGTTTTAGAAATATAATAACTTGAGGTATGTTTGTAGTTTTGGAGCTGTCTTTCTAAGTGTCTTTGCTAGCAGAGTCCAGTTGAGTTGAGATAAGTACCTATCAGTGAATAAACTTCTTTTCAAACAACTACAGAGGTTCTAAAGAAACAGCCTTCAAAAATGGCAAACATTTATACTACCTTAATAAATAGATGCCATGGAAACTTAGGGTTTCATAACTGTTTTCATGATTTGTACAAGTTATTGTAATATCTACCTAAGTAGAACCCATGTAGACATTTGAGCTGTCAAAGCTGCCAGCTGGCTTTGGCATTTCAGGACACCACATTCCCTGGAAATGTTACTTTTAGTTTAATGAAAGAAATATCCTGGGATGAAAGAGGAGACCAAAAAGGTCTTGCTATATAAGCCAAGAGAGTTGTTGGCAATTGATAGAAAACCTCTAAAATTTCTGGATACTGAGCTGCTCTGTCTGATCAGCCAGCCAGCAGCAGGAGCCAAGTACAAGTGCTGATGATTTCAACTGGCAGATGCAGCACAATTGTACAAAGTCACTATTCCAGTAATACTGCCTCTTCGTGAAGCTGTTCTTGTTAGTCACTGCTGATGGACCAGCCTTTGATGTGCATCATCTTTGTTTAAGGAAAGATCTACAGGAGGTGCTTGAGTATTCAGAAGTGCTGTGAATTTCCAGCACTTCTGATTTCAGAGCCTGCAAATAAACACAGTTTTATTGTGCCTGCTATTTTCAGGAATGATCTATTATACCTACCACCTTTCCCAGAAGATGCAGTAGTTAACGTTAGTCATTTATCTCTCAGTGGCTGGATATTTGCCTATAGCTCATAAGGTACATAAAACTGAAGATGCATAAGCTTGTAAGGTAAGGGACATCCAGTCCGACTCTTCTTCTGAGTTCAGAGCTGCTATGCAAACGTCCAATTAGACCTGTGAAAATCCTTGGCTGTGACAGGTCGAATTGGTTGCGTTATGCTTTCTACTTCTGCCTTTGAACGGTTTTTTAAAGACTATAGTTGTGCTCTAACGAACCATCAGCCTGAGCATCTGAGGTTAAAGCCTTGTTTTGTCAAGCACAAACAAGATGCAGAACAGAAAGATAAATCCATATATATTCCATCTCACAATTCTAAGTAAGGCTGAAAGGTCTTGACTCTTATAGTACTGGGATTTGCAGCCTTGAGATTACCAGGACACTCAGTTTAGGGAATAACTTTTTTCCAGGAAAAATTGAACTTATGATCTGACGCAATTTCATAAATGGCTCAATGTTCAAGTAGTGTGGAAAACCATCTAGTGACTAGGATCAAACAGCTGAATACAGAAAGGTTTAATCATTAAAGTAAGTTTGGAATCCTGATAAAGCTTTAACGAGAGATGCACCCTTGCTGAATCTGAAGGTTTATATGGGGAGGGAACAGCAGGGGAAGCAGGAGGCCAAGTTAAAGACTCAGAATTGTTAAGACATCTGGTTCTAACCTTTTGGCACAATCTTGTGTTTTTGATTTGAAATTTCACTGGTAATTTGCAGTAATGAAGCTGTAAAACATTTTAAACAAAATATTTTGAGTTACCCACATCAACATTTTTGGCATATGAGAGATTACCCTGATAAAGGTGGAAAATTTGAGGACATGAAACTTTGCTCAGGATGGCAAGATTGTTACCAGTAGAGCTGAGCAGGGGACTAGGAAAAGGTTTGCACACTTTACGGACTGGAAACTGCTTTACTTGGAAATTGCTCTATAGCTGTTGATAATCCACTTGGTCTGCAAACAACCCAATCCGAACCTCAGTTTCCTAGATCATAGAGCTCAACCAAATTGCTCACAGCACAGCAAAACAGACCTTTTCTCCCAAAGGATCTTTCACTCTAGGAACCATGACATTTATTTCCAAGATAGCTGAGTAACTTTTGTGGACTACATTTTATTTGGGAAAGGTGAAAGGGAAAACGTTAGGCTGATATGGCTAAAGAAGCACTGCAAGAAGGGGAATCTGAGACTGTAAACTCCATTAGAGACTGTACACGCACCATTAACTTTCTGAGGGTATCTGGTTTTTATTCAGCAACGTGTAACAGGCTCTCTCTCTTGTACCTGTGATCTAGTGACTGTAGCTGTTCCCCCTTTTATCAGATATTCCCCTTTTACTCTTCTAGTAGAGCAGCAACTCTTACAGTTTGGATTTTAAAGCATCAGCTAGCTCATGAGGTACTCTGAATGGCCTTGTGGATCTAAAGAGAAAGTATGATAACCTCTTCTCTCCAAGTGAGTCGATCCATGAACCTAGAAATCTTCAATGACAGATGCTAAAGTAACTAAGGGTGTGTCTTGATGAATAATTCTCTGGCGGTAGTACCGACTTTAGCACTTGCTGTTCTCCAGTACACACACACTTACATACACATGCTCGCCCCCACTCCTTTCATTGTGCAATCTCACGGCAAACCTATACAGGGAACTGTTCTGACAGAAAATAACTCATTTGCAGGATCGTTGTCCAGATCAGGCTCCTTGTGTGAGTGTACAAATGCTTGTATCAGCACAGCACGTGGGACAGTAACAGCACTGCTGAGTGTCACGATAGTCTAAACTTGCAGGTACCTACGATACTAGGCAGAACGCGTATTGCGTGGTTCCCACTGCTAACCGAGCTTTAAACTAAGAACCACAATGACTCCTGAGTTACACAACAAATCTTATGCTCATAACACTCTGAGGCATTATAGTAATAGCAGGAAAGAAAAATAAAGGCCCTTGGGCTTAGAAGTATGCCAGATGTTGACCCCTGGCATTCTTATGAAAGCCTGTCCACAGAAATCCTGGATTTAGCGTAAATAATCCAAATGCAACTTCTCACCTTGCCACAGTAAAAGATGTCTTCTCGCTTGATCCTTCCTTCCGCGATCTTCTCCCGGATGGCTTGTCCCACTTCGTGCTCGTTGTAATAGACAAAGGCACCATCTATATGGCGGTAACCAGTATCAATAGCAATCTTCACTGACTCTAGACAGGAACCTTTGGGAGTCTAACAGGAGAAAAAAAAGAATAAATATAGTTGCAGCCTCCTGCTTGTGTCTGTTGCAATGCTACCGAGTCAGTGAGATGCACGCAAAGGTCTTGCTGGAGTTCATCCAGTTTAACTATCCCTCATCCCTTCCAAACATCAGTGTTTCAAGTTGCGAATAAAACGTGCTCTGCACTTTTCTTCAAAACTGTCACAAATATGGAATTAGACTGGAAAGAGGAGCTAAGCAGAAACTTCACTGGAAGAGTGAGTACAAGAGTCCTCAAAAAGCAGAACTAAATGCATTTGGTTTCAAAGTGATTTCAGAATTTCTTATCTAGAGAGTAATGGCTTTCCTACAACAGCTATTTAATAAAATCTCTTTATCAAACAAGAGAGCTTTTTGGTGTAGCAGAGCTGGTCAGCCATCTATCTGATCAGAAGCTGTTTGAACACTTCATGGCTTAGGAGAGCTTTCTGCAGAGCAGGAAGGAGAAATTCAGATGTGTCTTCTTTCTCTTCAAACCAACTTACCGTTGATAGCATCACCATCCAAAAGGTGGTAGCTCAGGAGGATCTACTGACCTAAATTCCCAGTTGCGGACAGTTGTTTTGTAGGCTGGTCAAGAACCAACAAACGAATCAATGTACATTTTTTAGGCCTCTTACTGCTTCAGTTTAAGATGAGTTCAAGAAATCTCTTGATCTGTCCAAGTGACAACTGTATTTTTGTACTCCATATGGCAGTCCATTCTGCAGTTAAGTTTACTCATGTTAACCGCAACTTAGAGCAAACTTATTTTTTTCAGAACAGCCCTGTCTCTCATTAGCCAATGTGGCAAGCAAAATGCAAGTAGGCCAAACCAAGTAAAGAAGCATGAATTTCACTACAATCATTTGACCTGTCACTGAAATTGGACTGAAAATGTCTCATTGTTGCCATATTTTGCGTAACAAGGAGGCAGCTCAAAGCAATGATGGCTGAGGGCTGTCAATGGCAAATGGCAATGTTCTCCCATGGTTTTCATAGACATTGCTCTGCTGAGACAAGGACATCTGATCCACTCAAAGGAAAACCAAAACAGAGTGAACCAGCTCACTGCTTTGAAAACTGCACCTGCTCTGCAGCAAGTTGCACAGATCAGACATGTGCCATGAGGCAATGCCACCTAGCCCGTCAAGAGAGAAGATCCAAACTTCAGTTTTGCTTCTGCTAGCAGTTGATACTGAAAGGTGAATTTTGCTACGTCCAAGTAGAGGGTCCAAGACCAAGCTTCCTCTCCTATGGGGAAGGCAGGAGCTGGAGAGAACTGGAATGGAGAACAACTGTGAAGAGAGGATGTCAAATTTCTTGTTTCTGTTGTTGCCAAGGAACAGCAAGAAGTGGGACTGGCAACAAGCACTGTTGGGAAGGGACTTTCTCCCGCAGCAGCCACTGTCTCTCTCCTTGCCTCAAGCCTTCCTTGTGGCAGCAGGCACCAGTTTGGCTTTCCAGGAGTTTGCCGCAAAATAAGCAGCTGCTCTTCCAGCACCTGCCTTATGGCCTCTTTCGCTTCAGGCCGGGAGTGGCCCTCCCTGAGGCCACTTTTGCCTCATCTCCACTCGGCCAGAGCTCTGGGGCTCGCAGAGCACAGAACAGCAGGAGTACCATCGGGCAGAAAGCTTAAACGCACAATTTCCGAATGTGGAAACTAACTGTGAAACTCACTGCCCCAGGATGCTGCGAGACCAAGGACATGGGCCTGTTCTTCTGCATTCATGGAATAAAAACCTATGAAGAATGACTGAAGGATTCAACCTCTCTGTTGCTAAGCCCCAGAGCTGCAGGCTGCTGGAAGATTATTCTGGGGCAACGAGATGCATCCCTGTTTGCTCACTCTGCTCTCCAGCTTTCTCTCAGCCTTGGCCCCTGGTGGACAGGACTGGGTGGACTGGACTGGGTGGACTGTAACTCTGACCCAGGAGGGCCACTCTGCTCCAGGGTGCGGTACCTGAAGTTTACTTAAAACTCAAAGCCACTCACGCTTACCCTTACTTATTATGGACCTGAACGCAGGCTGAGGCTCAGAGCATCACAATTTGGCATGATAAAGTATTTAGAGAAGCTACGACACAACCTTGTCCACTCAATTGAGACAGGCAAGGAAATGCTTGTTCAAATGCTTTGCCGCTTTCAGTGCGAGAGCCTCCCAAAGGCACGCTCAGCCCCTGCCAGAGCCCTTTCCTAGCTGTTAGTAGGAGGTGAGGAAGATCACAGCAGCGAAAAGCGTTAAAGGAACAGTCAGTGGCTAGTTTTCACTCGGGGTGTGTTCAGCAGCGTTACAGAAGTGCTAAGGCATGGAGCAGTGACAGACTCGAACATGTTCTGCTCATCGCGCGCTGTCGAAACCTGTGAGGGCAGGATTTGGAGAAGGCAAGAGACAAAAGGCTTTAACACGCAAATTACAAGTGTTCAGTTACTGGTCATACTAACATCATACATCGACCTCAGCAACGAGCTGCTGTAGCTTCAGATGCTAAGCTCAGGTTGACTAACAGAGCCAGGAGTTTCAGGTCAAAGCGCTTGTGAGCTCAAGCCCAGGTGATGACTAGTTATCCAAAAGAAAAATAAAATAAAAAAGTATGATCAGCATTTTCTATATAAAACCTGTGGCAGACCTAACTCACCTAACTGTGGCATTTAGACCTCTTTAGACTGTTTGATTTGTATAATTTGAGTGTTTGAAAGCAGAACATTTAGAGCACATTACTCTGGCGCAGGAAATAATAATTTTTTTCTCCCCTTTTTCTCCTTGTGTTGAAGAGCCTGAAAGTGGGCTCAGGGCCTGATCCTAAGATTTCGTCTCTCCTCTTGTTGCACTCTTGTGAAATTACCTGGACGTGGCTCCCAATTTTTTCCTGAAGCTGTGAGGTAAATTCTGCAGAGCAGGGAAATGCTGATTGTTAAGTCGCATCTTTTCTCAAACATCTTGGCCATTTTATTCAGTAAGAAAGTAGAAAGAATAGGTAAAGAATGATATATTCTCATACTTAGGGGAATGGTATAATTGCAGGCTTAAAGAGGGGAGAGTGGAAGAGAAGAAAATGAGAAAACTGGCAGTTACAGTAAACTTCAATTGCCTTTGCATCCAATCAGTTAAGTTATATAAGAGTTGAACTTCCATATATTTCTTAATCTTTTGTATGGAAATTCTGTACCTCTGTACAAATAACCTTGTGAAAGACTCCTCCATCTCAAGGATTAATCTTATTCTTTAGGGGCTTGCGGGGGCTTTCTTGGATCAGGTCTTGATTACCAAGGACCGGAGATGGGTTTACATTAAATATAAATGTTTTCATTGCACTAGTTCATTTACTCTGATGTGGTACATTAGCTCCGACAGACTGGTCTAAGATGCTTCCGATAAAAATGCAAGAAAATCTAGGGAACGGTTTTTGGAAAATCCTGGCCCTACTGAACCCTCCCAGCTGAAGGTCGGGGAAATTTGCGAGTCTGGAAACTTTATACCATATGTTTATTTTCATTCTAATGGAGAAACTATCATCTCTAGCATTTCACATATGTAATCCTTCCAAATCCTGCAGTGATGGGCTCTGGTAAACTGTGCTGATGAGTTGTACAGGCCAGTCATGTTGTGGTTTTGCCACTTTTTAAAAGTGTTGCTCTACATATCATATCTTATTCCATTGTTTCCCTGACAGTCTTAAAGCTGCATGACTCATATTACCTCTACTTCATCTATCTTTCCATCAGCGAGGGCACAAACCTGGATCTTTCCCCATTACCCAGCTGCTTAGCCCAAGACATTTTAATCTTTTCAATCTTTCACGGAAACAAAGTCCTTAACTAGCAGAATAGTTAGAGGCAGTGACCAGATCAGAGTTTGTCAGCTAAAAACCAACCATTACTTAATTGCAGATAAAAGTGTGATAACACTGCTCTTACATGTCCTGATGTATAAAGGTTTGCACTTCTATTACAGCTCTCCGTGCAGCCATGACTCATAAGCTGACTTAGTGAAACTCATAGAACAACCGTCCCAGCTATTTCTAGCAGCGGCGTCAGACCTCGGCGGTCCTACTTCAGGTTATGCATATCATACGCAATACGAAATGCAATTACTTATGTTGTATATTCATTTCAGTTAGACGTTTCTAACCATTTCTAACCACCATTTCTCAAATGGACAGGGCTTGTGTTTAGAGCAGAACAAAGGCTTGATGATGCACCAATCGGTACTAATTCAGGAGGCTTGGCCTTAAGACAAGTCTTTGCTGCTTTATTACTTTTAACTTAAGTGTAGATAAGAGGTATGCTTGATCCTTAGCTGTAATTAATGTTTCCATTTCAAATCAGTGCGCCCTGCAACCATGCTCCTTTGATCAGGACTGTTATTTTAGAGCTGAAATTTTATAACCACTCGTACACTGTAAGTCAGATTTTTATCTTCGCTGCTCCAGCATTCAGTCGCTAATGTGTGCCAAAAAAGATCTTAAATTTATTACATATATTCTGATAAAAGAACAGCTGCTTAGGTGACTAGAACCACTTACTCTGTCACGAATAAATTCTTTAATAGCATCTAAGTTATTTTTAAGATTACAGAGTTTAAGGAAATAATACACACAATTATTTCCTCTATCAATCTTTTTGATAGCTTGTAAACCTACTGATTTACTGATTGTAAACCTACTGATTTACAACCAAGCATGACAGATGGAACCAATATCCACTTCCTTTAGATTCCATAGTAAATAAAACTGGTAGAAGGCTAGAAGGAGTAGGCTCAGATTTCTACCTTCATCGAAAGAAAGGGAGAAGCAACTTGGCCCCTTTTCCACAGATGAAGTAGCCAACTGGCCAGTCACCACATTTTATGAATCTAAAAAACCAATGTGGTTCATCAGTTGTGTCTGTCTGAAAGGGTCTGCTCTCCTTTTCTCTGAGACCACGAACTTTTTAAAATGCTTATTCCAGACAACAGGGGTTGTCTGGAATGAGACATCATATCCCATTTTGTCAAAAACTAGTCTCCCTACCTTGAAAAATGCATAGCTTCAGTTTTGCTCATGATTAGACATGATCAATCAACTGGAGAATATTTTTTATGCACACGTACCCATGAATATTACTATTCCCTTTCAAGTAGGAGGACAATATTTGCTTAGCGGTATTTGTGGTAGGCCTACTCATTCCTGTTATTTAGCGTTGCACTTCAGCTTCCTGCTTCCATTCCGCTTTTTCTATAGGATCCTTTTCTGGTCTGTTCTTTCTGTGAGCTTTCCCACTGATATAAAGGGATTTTTGGTTAACTTCAAAGACAAAGCTAGGAAGATGCATTGGTGGCGGACTGTAGTCTTGGAAGACCATATAGACAGAAGGTCTCATAGGCAGTGCTTTCAAAAGTCCTAACTTCATTATATTCGCTTATTCTTCATTAGTCCATACATTAAAGGAAAGCAGAGTCTGCTTCAGGCTCTCACAATCTGCTGCTCCTCATTTGGGGCATGCATAGTTCTATTGAGTTGCATCAGTTCTGGCAGCA